ACTCAATCATTTTTTAAATAGAAGTTGGTTTGCTGTTCCAATGACCCACTCAGCTGCAAGAATCTGCACCAATGGTAATAATTATTAACATCCCAGTCCTACCTCATCTCACTCCCTAACTTGACTAATAGTAACTGAGCAAACCAACAGAAACACTAAGGTGGGCTTAAGTACGGAACAACAAGATGGACTTAGAAATCCAAGGCATAGAATCAAACTAATATTTATTCCCTGAGTCATTTTAATACCTGGTTACATGACCGAAAGCAGGTCAGAGTATTTCCAAAATAGACCTCCACTTCTCCTTTGGCAAATTAAAGTTACATAGCAAATAGTCACGTAATTTTGCTCAACCCAATTAGAAGAGGACCTATGTACACTCTTAAATCAACTGAGTTGATCTGAAAAAGACAGTCCATGGACTGTGATAGATGTTAGAAGTTTAGAGCAGGAAAGGGATTTAGAACTCATTTCATCTGCTCCCATAATTGATAAGAAAATACTCAGTGAAAGTTACAGGACCTATCCGAAGTCAAATTCAAAAAAGAACCTAGCTCTCAAAATTCAGAGCCCAGCCATCATTCTAAAATACCATGGCAGTTAAACAGAAATGTTCATAACAAGTTTTATAAATAGTGGGAAGGGATTAAAAGTTGAAATTCCACAGCATTTTTTGAATATTTACAAAATTCTGAATTGAAGCAAACAGCAACTTTTAGTTTAAAAAAACCTTATCATCATGAAACAATATTACAGAAGTTAGAACCAGCCCCTATAAATGTATTGGCAACTATGAGAAGTCACTGTGTGTTGACTTTCCCTCTCTCCTGGGCTGCTGTACTAAGAAATACATTACAGTTCTCTACTTGTCATCTTCAAATTGATTTTTAAAAATGAATTTTGCTTTCAAAATGGAGTTTTTGTCTTCCCCTAGCATATCTATTCTGGTGAGAGAAACATTAAGATCTTTTTTCATTCATTAGTTTTAACAATGCTTTTTTAATTGACCAACACTGATGTTCCTAATCCTTCCTACCTAGCTCATCCTCCTTGGTCATGAATCTAAGTTCCCTTCCTGAACAATCTCTGATTTTGTTTGTTTAGTCTATACTGGCCCAAGTGAACTATTTACCATAAAAATACAACTGGACTGTGCCAACAGCACATTTGGCGGAGAATACAGTATTGCCTGTGGTGGTGGACCTGGTCATTACTGCTCTTGGTGGTAGCGAGTGGTGACGTGAAGAGGTAGTTAGTTCTTCTGAGTAGGTGTAATTCTGACTGTTGATGACCCTAACTCTTCTTTGGATTGATTGGTTGGTTGATTGATTGATTTGAGAGAAAGATAGAGAGACAGAGATAGTAAGAGAGCACACGAGTCGGGGGAGAGGGAGAAGCAGACTCCCCGCCGAGCAGGGAACCCGATGTGGGGCTCGATCCCAGGACCCTGGGATCATGACCTGAGCCAAAGGCAAATGCTTAACCAACTGAGCCACCCAGGCACCCCTCTTCTTTGGCTTCTTACAAACGCACATAGTTCAGCAACTTAACTGTATATATAATTGTTTTGGTTCCATTTTACTTTCTACTTGGCCTTAAAGTCCTTGAAGTCAAAGAGCAAACACAGATTAGGCAAACTAACTGGCAAAGAGGAAACAGTGCAAATGTAGAACTCCTCTTTCCTTCAGTGACTACTTGCATGCCAGCCACCGAGCCAGCCACCGGAGATGGGAAGACTGGAGGTATGGCATCTCCTGCAGATGGTAAAGTGGGAGCGCTGCACACATCACACGACTGTTTGTAGTACACTTCAGTGACCACGAGAGCCTACTGGAATCTCCCTGTGAAGAGAAAACAATGGTTTAAAACCTATCCACCTATCTACCTATCATCTATCTATCCATCTATCTATCATTTATCTATCTATCTCTCTATCTATCCCTTTAAATTCATTTGCTTTGTGGGGAATGTCAAACTGATCAGTGATTGAAGAGTTTCCCCATCCCACTCCCGCCCATCTCCATGGCTATGGTGAGATGGGTAAGAAAAATGGTATGCTGGAAAGACCATCAAAGTCAGAAGTTTTACTTCTGTTTGTCAAAACACCATTTAATGTTTGGGGAGGAAATGGATTTCATCTTGTCTCCATCCATCTAGAATGTTATGCATTGGGACAATGGGAGCAAATGAATCAGTTACAGCACCAAATTGTCCACGGAGGAAAGCAAGCTTGTTTTGCCCATCCCATTAGCCCATAACGCAGAGACCAACTTGTTTTGAGTAAGTAGTTCTAGTTGAAAACACTGGCATGGGTATTTACTTATCATCCTCCAACATCAGTTGGAACTACTGAACTTTTCTCGACGGATTTAGTGAAGGCCGTTTTTAATTTGCAAAAGGGACAATTGTAATGACATTTCCAGAATTCTCTTAAGGTTAGTTGTATTTTAAAGAAAAAAGAGGAAATCTTCTTTCCAGAAATGTGAAAATTCTCATTTAAGCTGAATGTCAGAACAGTAAGGAAGGTGATGTCCTCCCAAGAACGCAAGGGGGGGAAGAGATATGTAGTGTGTGTGCAGAAAGGGGGAGGACACAATTGTGGCTTTTTCTGACTAAGTAATTTTTTTCCTCTTCGGATCCCTGTCTTACGCCTGCTTGGAAGTTCCACAAAGTTTTGATTTGTTAGTTACTACAATTAACCACTGAACATAAAATCTGAATGCTTCCCCAAAGCTGCCACACATGGTCACCGTTTCTCAGCTGGGAGAACCAGACCCCATTTTTGGGATTTCTGAAAGTGTGAGAGGGCATTCTGACTTGTGACAATGACTGGACAGCTACTGACATTTGGAGCCAGGGGCCAGGCTGAGCGCTCTGCAGTAGCCCCTCCCCTAGGGAGAGTCTTGCCAACCCAAATGCCTACAATGTCTTTGTCTTTGTGGAGAAGCTCTGGAAGACAATTCAAAGAATCATACCCAAGACTGTGAGCATATTAACATTAAAACCGGCCTTGGATGACTCAACTGAGTGGAGCCCTGCTGAGACTAGGGTGTGGTTCCGGGTCCTGACTCTCCCCTGGAGGAGGGTTAGGGCTCTTTCTGGGCCGCAGCATCGTTCTCACCAAGCCCTTTACACAGCTCTGGGCAGGGTATCGTGATGCCGGCAGCTGTGCGTGGATTCTAAGAGCTGTATGTTCTGTTCCACAGCGGTGTCAGGACTTGCTTTGGGAGTGAGAACTGGCTGGAAGAACTAGTCTTTTTTTTTTTTTTTTTAAAGATTTTATTTATTTGACAGAGAGAGAGACAGCTAGAGTAGGAACACAAGCAGCGGGAGTGGGAGAGGGAGAGCAGGCTTCCCGCCGAGGCGGGAGCCCGATGCGGGACTCGATCCCAGGACCCCGGGATCATGACCTGAGCCGAAGGCAGACGCTTAACGACTGAGCCACCCAGGTGCCCTGGAAGAACTAGTCTTAACAAAAGGCCCAAATTCCTTCATATTAGGAAGTGAACACCCAACGGAGTGCATTGAGCCTTCATCACGGTTAATCTTAGACAATCGTTTCAAAGAACCGCATCCTTGTGGCGACTACCCACGGAACATTAAACTCCGTAAACACTGAGCTCTCCCTTTAGCAACCTCGACTGTTTTCAGCCCACATAGTCCTTGGTATGAATTTTCTTGATAAAATAAAAATTCTTAATATAGTGTCCTAATGAAGGTTTCGATGTAGGATAGCATCTATTCCGGAAACGGAATTCCCAGGGAGAGAGCCACCATCCAGGTGAGCCTGGGTCTTGAAGCCACAACAGGTTTGAGATACCAACACCTTCCGTGTCTATCAAGGTCATCTGGGGTCCCAAGGCAAATTCTTGGGGACCAAATACACATTTGGGGGATCGGGGGCCTGCCCCCACCCCTGCAGTGCCCGGCAGAGGCAACCTTTCCAGGCTCCAGCCCTGTCTTTTGTCCTCTGCCCAGGAAGTGGGGGTGGAGGGAACACAGACCAGATGGCGGGGAGGTTACTATCCTGGCTGAGAACGAGAAAAAAATGTTGGGGCTTCAACGAAGCATCCAAGTTGTGAGAAATGCAGCCCCCCCCACCCACACACACAAAAGCACCCGTCTCAAGTGGGTCTGAAGGGACACTGTGTGCTTCCTACCGGAATACTGACCCAACAACTGCCATTAAGACTTAAGACTTCTATTTAACCCATTAACCTACCAACATCAATTCATGGAGTTACAGCAACCAAAAATGTGATGCTACCAGACGACGTTCCTCGCCCCCACCAGATTCTGTAACGGACAGCTTGGCATTGGTTACAAACTTCACCTACGTGCCAGTCTCGTGATAAGCTTGGACTCGGGAGCACTTTTCATCTGTGATTTAAAGTCATTTGATAGACCAAGAGATTCATCAAGGGAAAAATGGGGTTTTATTCTTAGGCAGGTAGACCAAGACAACAGAGAAGAATGTGGGTGTGTGTGCATAAACAGGTGTGACAGGTCTTTTGTGTATCAGTACATGGTATCTATATCCTTCACTCACTTGCTCTCTGGAGAATAGCAGCCCCAACCCCCCAATTCAGTCATCACTCTTAAAAAATATATCCAGCTCCTTTGCTACCCTAAATCAATTCTATTTTTCAGTTTCAGTGAGATAGACTGATCCGGACATTTGTCAAGGGCGGGGCAGCCGGTCATGAAAGCTGAAAACTGACACCGTGATGTTCCAACCAGGAGGCTCTGTTGTCTGTGCATATTGTCAGGAATCTCCCGATCCCAAAGGCACCGCTTCCCCACACATCTCACCACCAACGAGCAAGCATTAGGGTCAGGTTTCTGAATATATCTGTCTTTCTGCACTATCTGCTTCCAAAGAAGGCTAAGATTACTGTGTTACTTACCACAACAGGAAGCTTGCCAAAAGCCACACATACCAACAAACCACTTCTCAGAAGAACCCTCTGGTTGTGCATAATTTAATAAAACTGACCATGTAGGATAATGCTGTTTATTAAAAATATATTCAGGGAGAAGGAAGTCAGTGCATTTATGCAATTTTACATACACATCTGTAGTTTGAGGTTCCATTATTCCAACAGTTCATATAAATCACTGTTTCAGAGAAGAGAAAAAAATGCTTTACAGGAGATCAGCAATCGGTTATAGGTTTGGTAATATGAGTAGGCTTGTTGTAAAAATAAAACCACCTCTTCCTTTAGTAAAGAATGTCTCCTTTATGCAGGACAAGTCTTCAGAGTTAAGAACTTTTCTTGCATTAACTTGAAGTTCTTGGAAAACAACCAATCCTCCGTTTTCTATAAATATAAATGCTATATTTTGTCTGGATTTTTCTTTTGAGGTAACAGAGGAAGCATTTTCAATGATTTGTCACTAGGTTATCCTTTACTGGGTATGTCAACTACTGCAACGTCAAACCTAAGACTCATACAAAAGCATTTCTGAGAATTAGAAATACAGAGCATGACATTTCCAAACAACGAACGTTCTCATTACAGTAGGGAAAATAAAACGGGTCAAAAAACCAAAGCCTCAGATAAAGAAAAGTAAATCTTTGCTAATGGAGAAGGAACAATGGCACCCAGAATCCCACACGAGGATTTGGCTTCTGAGCGCATGGTTATGTCTTTCCCCTGCAAGTCTCCTTTCTCAAGTTACAGCTTTCCTGGAGTATCAGGGACATTCCCATATCCTGAGTTCCTAAGCACTGACAGGAATCAGGAGCATAGCCTCAACAGCTGACGAACCAACCAGAGGGAAGACACACTTAGAATTTGCTGGCGAGAGAATCCTTACTGTGTTAAGTCAAGAGCTGGATCTACTTTCTGGGGTGTGGACCCTGGGGCCTCTCCCTCAGCCTTATTGCCTTTCTGCACAGGACGCCCCAGGGCTGTAACTCCGGACCAGGAAGTGACTGGTTACAGTCAACCAGCTGCCCCACCCCCTCTCATGCCCTGTCCCCGAGTCACGGCAACAGCCAAAGGCAGGTAAGAGGGGCTTTAGGGATACTACCTTCTTCATAGAATGCTGAAGTCAAAGAAAGTTCTCGGTCACTACAAATGCAGGAACCAGGGCCGAAGCACAGGAAGAGAGAAGTCTGTATCCTCACAATGAGCAGCTGTGTGAAAGTTTTCTGCTGGGTTGGGCTAAGGCATCTAGAACTCTCTCCGTGTCTGTTCCTGATTAGACTACCTAGAACTCACAATTCACTTTTTGGAGGGGCTGAGATGAGGGGATTTCATTTAATTACCTCTTCCTTCCTTCTTAAAGTGAAATAGTTAAAAATATGTTCTCATGTACAAAGCAGATCAGATCCGCTGACCGCCTAAACGACACCACCACACAGCTGGTGTTGGCTGTGATTAACATCGGACTCCATCTCGGCAAAAATTAAAGGAAAACAAAATCCCAGTCACTACCCATCTAGGTGTACAAAGCATACCGAGAAATCAGTGCTTGTTGGCAGGATTACTAAGCAAATAAAGTTAAGGCAAAACTGGAGTAACAGCAAATGAAGTATATACTTTCTTCCCTACATTGCAAGATTAAGGCCTCTGCCAAGAGAGATTGCTCTAGAATGGGAAGAGTCTTCCTGCCCCTAATTAACAAGGGATCCCACACATAAAGGAGGAAGCTAAAGACTTTACAAGCATTTAAACAGGTGAACTACTGACTTGGAAACAACCAACCTCCAGAGGTTGATTCAAAACCATCCAATGTATTGGTTGATGTGGAAAATCAATGAGGCCAAATATGCCAAGGGCCACATTACGGATAAAATGTCAGATACAGATTATTTTAGTAGGAAATATTGCTTTGTTTATACAGGTCTAAATTTTAACAATAGAACCCTTAGAAAAAAAGAGGAACAAAATGCTATGTTCACACAATAATCTTTGTGCTTAGTTTGCAAAAAGGTATCAGAACAGTTCCAACAAATCGGTTCATTTGTTAACAAAAACTTCACTTGATCGCACTGCTCGGCTCCTAGGCTGTCAATGTCGGAACTGCAGAAACACAACTCCCTTCTTGGGCGTCACGGTGAAGCTGCTTGCTTGCCAGAGCCCCCCTGAGCTCCTGCGACAGCTCCATCACACTTAACGGGGGTCACCGCCCAAGTTCTCGGTGAGGAGGGGGATGCTCCATATAAGGCCATGTAAGTGTAAAAATGAAAAGGTCATCGAAGTAAAACAAGCCACTGAAGTTTCTCTTCAGTGGAGGGATGGGCAACAAAGGGGTGTCTACACCAAGTAAGACTTTGAAACAGTCTGTAAAACAAAAGAGAATTGATTTCTCAAAGTTCAATAAAAAACAAAAACAAAACAAAGAGCTCATCTCTCATTTTCAAAAAGATGAATTATGGAAATTCTCTCAAATTTATGCAACAGGCTTAATTTTGAATCTTAGGAAGGAATCTCCTCCCATTTTCTTTCCACGTTTTATGTTCTTCAAGTTGCTATTATAAATTCTTTGAATAGCGAAATCAGCCATGATGCAAATCATGGAGACGTGACGATTTGCTTGCACTGAAATACATCTACACGATGGAAAGTTATGCATACAGCACAGAACTAAAAACAAAAAGGTGAAGCAAACTTTATTTATTTTCAGGTAAAAACATTAACCTGATGGATTCTTGCAGATTTGAGAAATCAGGACATGAAACAACTGGACAGAGCATTGCTTACAGGTGCTTTTATCGGTGCCGAGACAAAGGCTGAACTGTTTGTCCCAAGTCAGCACTGGGGGCAGGGGAAGGGGAGTGTAGAAGGAAGAAGACTCTGAACAAAAACTTAGAACATAAGGACAAGGGAGAAAAAAATTCTTTTACTCCAACGGAATGAAAACTGCGAATTTTGGTTAAAACGTTACATCAATTCAAAATGCTCTGGTCTTAGGATAATAAATCTCGGCCAGCCCGAGGTGCAGACTTTGTAACCTACAAAAGGAAATGAGCGAGCTTTCCCGGCCTCGGTCGAGAGGCTGCTGTGGTCGCCAGAATCACCGTGTAAACAGTCCTAAGGTGTCACTGGGAAAAGGCCAGCAATGCCCTACAGCTGGATTCAAACTAAGCTATGAGAGAAGTCTACCTAGCTACAAAGACTGAGTTATACTGACAATATATTTCTGTTCAATGCGTTTTAAATTATATCTTAATTTGAGAGAGAACATGGCACAACAGAAGCCCATGGCTAACGAGAATGGAACCAGCGCGAGTGCTGTATACAAAAGAACCGTGTGGACTGCAGACAGTACAGGACTCAGGGAGGGCAATGGAAGGGGGTTGGTAGTGGAAAGCACAGAGAGCTAACCTACTAGACCGTATTTGTCAAATACACGTGAGCTTGAATTTCTGTACTTATGTACAAGAGTTGTCTTTGGAGGAAACAAAACTGCAGACTTAGCTCGATGGATACACACAGCCCAGAATTAAACTGCACAGCGACATTTATTGTTTCAGCCTGGAAAAACATCCCTTTTTTTAAATTTCACACAGCAAAGCAAGTTAAAAACTTCACTCATCAAATAAATGATAATTTAAACAAGAACTTGCTAAAGAAACCTCATCACAACAACGTTTTAGGGCCTGATCACTTTTAAGTCCATGGGGCCATTAATGAATATCAACCAAGTGTCTCTTGTATAATCTGCAAGCCGTTTTTCCTACAACAAGAAGGCGTAACATGTTTCCTTGACTCAGGTGATACATTTAGAAAAGAAATCATGATTTTTTTCTTTTGCTGTAACAGGCAGACGCTGCAATTCTCGTTGTGATCAGGAAAGATGGAACGACTGCTGCCCTTCTCTGGCTGCAATCAACAGTTTCTCACGCATTATCTCAATGCTCGAGTAGTCCGGCAACTTAAGATAGTTCACGCACGTCATGACAGAGGGCAAGAAGTCATCGGGGTTTTCTGTTGATTCGAATGTCTTCCGGACAATTGTCAAAGGTGGATTCAAACTCCGGAAGCCTGATGAAAGGGGAAGGAAGAGAGACCAAGGAACTTAGTAAGTTTGCAGGGTGCACACGGCCAACTCAGAGGAGAACATTTTCTTAGCTGGGAGAAGAGTCTGCCTGGAGTCCCAGACACACCCTTCTGCTACTCCTACCAGAAAACACCACACTGCCTCGCTGTATGGGGTTAGCACACACACAAGGTGCTCGTTCTTGCTTGCTTGGCAATTAAATCTACACATTCGATACATGTTTAGTGTATGGTGCCTAGTATCTGCTTTATTTACCATAAAAAGCCCTCGCATAATATGGAGGCAAACAGGTCCTTAGGCTTTCTGAGGTTTAAAACAGAGTACCAATTCAACTCCTGTTAGGACTGACTCGCTGCTGGGAAAGTAGACTTTACAGTGCATTCTCATCCATTCTCATCTAAGAGTTTGTAATGTTCAAATGGCCTGAAGATCTGAATTTTATCTAGAAAGGTAGCGTTATATGCTCATTAACAATCCTACTTCAGTGTGTTTAAGACAGTCCTTATGAATTTCCCTGCTGGCGATGGCTCTCATATACTGCAAACAAGGTGAACATTTAGAAGCATTATGATACTAGGGTAACTAAGAGGTCCTGTAAGTACAGAATATCCTGCTGTTGGTAGTGACGTATCGCCTGTCTGCCTGTCCGACACACACACATACCCACAGAGCAAAGGCATACCCACCTCCAACAGGCAATCTTGGGCTACCTGTCACAAACTGGAGAAATAACCTCTGCTGCTCATTATCAAAACTACTGAGAATCTCAAACAAGAACTTCACAGCCCGACTACAACAGAAATAAATAACCACAATTATTTCATCATATTAAAATACAGTTTTGAATCACCCCACAATGCAGACTCTAATTAGCTACACACTGTAAAAATTTAACTATGAATATCTATGAATTCACATTACAGTGCACTCTGAAATCAAACTGGTTTCTGTTGTCACAGCTGGAATTCAAATGTTGTAACAAGACTGGTTGGGGATTGTACAGATGTCTCCGTATTACTACACAGAGAAGTGCGTAATGGGGTGAGACCTGTGTTCCCTCCTCTCCCCCTCCCTGTTCATTTCTGCAGAAGTGCTTGAAAAAGAAATCTTTGGGTCCTAAGGTCTTAACAGAAATGAGGCCAAAATATCAGAGTCTCTCCTTTAAAATAGGTAGACAAATTTAGGGAGCCTGGGTGGCTCCGTTGGTGAAGCATCTGCCTTCGGCTGAGGTCATGATCTTAGGGTCCTGGGATCGAGCCCCTCAAGCAGAGCAGGGATCCTGCTTCTCCCCCTGCCCCTCTCCCCGCTCATGCCTATGCTCTAATAAATAAGTTTAAAAAAAAAAAAAGAATGT